TTTCCCATCCAATTGACATTTGACAACAATGCCAAGTGTTAAACGTGTCAAAAATCAATGTTCGAATAGCAAAGTTCAATCGGTAAGGGCCATGCTACATATACACTATGGTGTACACTTTAATTTACTATTTGCCACGTGACATTACCCGGTTGGACGGTTTCAATTTCAAACAGTTTTTCCATCTAACTACCACTTGACAACAATGTAAGTGTCAAACATCGTATCAAAAATCAGTGTACAAATAGCAAAGTTCAATCGGCAAGAACCATGCTACATGTACACTATGGTGTACACTTTAGTTTACACTTTACCACGATACATTACCCTGTGGGACAGTTTAAATTTCAAACAATTTTTCCATCCAATTGACACTTTATTATTGCTTTGTATTCCTCTTGAAGGATTTTATTTAGATGATCATAAAAGATCTTTCTTTTAGCTATAAATCTCTTCCCTATATTGTGCAAGTACTGTCGACTTCTCTGAATGAGATTACATTTATGATGGTATATAGGACTATGGTGCAAGCAAGGACAATTACGGAATTAAGGCGAGAGATTGATGAGTTGAAACGGGCCCTGGCTGCTCAGGCTGCACCTCCAGCTCCACCAATCCCACCTATACCGCCAGTGCCATTAGCATATCCACATATACCGTCTATTTCGACTGTAGAACAGTTTCGCAGATATCGACCCTCTACCTTTGATGGAGGGAAAGACCCTCTGGTAGCTGAAGAGTGGTTACGTGCTATTGAGAAAATCTTTCAGCACATCTCTTGTCCAGAAAATCAAAAGGTATTATGTACTAAGTTTATGCTAGTTGGAAGAGCAAGCCATTGGTGGGAATCTTCATCATGTACTCGCACTGAGGAGGAACAACGTAATTTAACTTGGGACCAGTTCAAAATGGAGCTAACAGAGAAGTTTTTCCCACAAGCTCTACGAGACTATAAGGAGGCAGAATTCTTAAGACTGGTACAGGGAGATATGGAAATTTCCGAGTATGAGAGCAAGTTCGAGGAATTGTCCTGATATGCCCCACATCTTGTAAGTACTGAGCTAATGAAGGCAAAACGTTACGAGAGGGGCCTGCGCCTAGAGATCAGGCAGATTGTGAAGAAAGCTCAAATAGTAACCTATTCGGGTGTGAAGTTGATAAATCAGAGATAGTGTAATGACTTTGGAAAAAGGAAGTGGCAGGATAAGAATAAGAATTCTGGACAGTTTAAGAAGCAAACAATTGTGGGCCAATCAAGTAATCCTCCATCCCAATGTCCTAAATGTAACAAGTTTCACAGAGGGGAATGTCTGTATGCGAAGTATACTTGCTATAAGTGTGGCAAACCTGGCCATGTTGTTTCCTCATGTCCATCAATTAAGAAACCTGAACAAGAGAAGAAAGGAAAAGCAAGGGTGTTTGCTCTGACTCACGATGAGGCTACCCAAAATCCAAACGTAATCGCAGGTATTTTATCCATCTCTGGAACTCCAGTTTATGTCCCTATTGATTCCAGTGCAACACATTCGTTCATATCTAATGCATGTTTAGCTAAGATTAATGCTTCATGTAAGAAGAATGATAATGTACTAGAGGTTAGTATGCCATCAGGAGGAACTATTGATACAGATAGGATAGCAACGGGAGTACAAATAAATTTTGATGGACTGATGTTAGAGGCCGACCTGTACGTCATAGAGATGAAAGACTTTGATATTATTTTAGGCATGGATTGGTTAGGTAAAAATCAAGCCACGATAGTATGTTTTGAGAAAGAGGTGATTTTTCAAAGATCGGGACAAGATGAATTCAGATTTTATGGATCGAAGGTTAAGGCACTTCCTTGCGTCATCTCAGCTTTGAAGGCAAAAAGCATGTTGAAGAAGCCTGACTGCCAAGGGTATCTTATCAGTCTTATTGGCACCTCATCTCAAGGTAAAACATTGGATGATGTGCCAATAGTACGGGAGTATACTGACGTGTTTCCCGATGATCTATCGAGTATTCTGCCCGATAGACAAGTGGAATTCACGATAGATTTGGTACCTGAAGCTACTCCCATGTCCAAAGCTCCATATCGAATGGCACCAAAGGAATTACAAGAGTTAAAGATGCAGCTAGAAGAACTTCTAGACAAAGGGTTTATTCGACCGAGTGTATCTCCATGGGGGGCTCCAGTACTCTTTGTAAAGAAGAAAGATGGTACTATGAGGCTGTGCATCGACTACCGTGAATTGAATAAGTTGACGATCAAAAATAAGTATCCTCTTCCTAGGATTGAAGACCTATTTGATCAGTTGAAGGGCGCATCTGTATTCTCAAAAATTGATTTAAGGTTGGGCTACCATCAACTGAAGATTAAGTCAGTTGATATACTAAAAACGGCATTTAGGACTCGGTATGGGCATTATGAGTTTACGGTGATGTCCTTTGGCTTGACGAATGCCCCTGCGATGTTTATGGACTTGATGAATAGAGTGTTCCATCAGTATTTGGACATGTTTGTCATCATATTTATTGACGACATACTGATATATTCGAGAGATTCCCTACAACACGAAGAACATTTGAGGATAGTTTTGGGAACCCTGTGTCAGGAAAAGTTGTATGCCAAATTCAAGAAATGTGAATTTTGGCTTGACCAAGTGGGATTTCTAGGCCATACTATTTCAGCACGAGGAATTGAAGTGGATCAATCCAAAGTTGAGGCCATAACAAATTGGCTGAAACCTACAAATGTTGGAGAAGTGCGGAGCTTTCTAGGGTTAGCCGGCTATTATCGGTGATTTATAGAAGGATTCTCCAAGATTGTAGGTCCTATGACATAGTTGACTCGGAAGGGTACTAAGTTCGTATGGTCAGAGAAATGCGAACAAAGTTTTCAAGAGTTAAAAGACAAGTCGTATCTGCGCCGGTTTTGACTATTCCCAATGGTTCAGAAGGTTTTGTGATTTACAGTGATGCATCTAAGCTTAGTTTAGGATGTGTTTTAATGCAACATGGAAAAGTGATAGCTTATGCTTCGAGGCAGTTGAAGCAATACGAACAGAATTATCCCACGCATGACCTTGAACTAGCAGCAGTAGTGCACGCCTTGAAGATTTGGCGCCACTACCTATATGGGAGCAAGTGTGAGATCTACACTAATCATAAGAGTCTCAAATACTTCTTCACCCAAAAGGAGTTGAATATGAGACAACGACGGTGGTTAGAGTTAGTGAAAGATTACGACTGCACTATCCTGTACCATCCGGGTAAGGCTAATGTAGTTGCTGATGCACTGAGTAGAAAGAATATGGGACAGTTGTCAGCACTGTGTACAAGACAGGATCATTTAATAAGAGATTTTGAAAACCTGAGAATTGAAGTATTAACATCACCAGTAAGGACATCGGCAAAGTTAGCAAGTTTTACTATGAAATCGACACTCGGGGACATAATAGTAGCCACTCAGAAAGATGATCCATTTTTGGAAAAGATCAGGGTTGATGTAGGAACTGAGAAGAGGAAGGGATTTGAAATAGCCGAAGACAAAGCCTTGATGTTTAAGGGTCGATTGTGCTTGCCAAAGGATGAAGCATTGAGAAATGAAATTATGACTGAGGCTCACTCAACTCCTTACGCTGGCCACCTAGGTAGAACTAAAATGTATCGAGATTTGCGTAATACATTTTGGTGGAGAAATATGAAAGGGAAGATAGCTTTGTTCGTGTCCAAATGCATGGTTTGCCGACAGGTGAAGGCC